GCGCTCCCCGGCCGGGCTGGAGCCCGGGCATGGTCCCCGCAGGAGGCAACAGCGGGAGGTGAAGGACGCCGAGGAGTCCCTCACCCCGAGCAGGGCGCTCTATTTCAGTGGACAAGGTGATCAGCTGCGGTTGAAAGCAGATATTGAGCTGCCCCGAGATGCCTTCACTTTGCAAGTGTGGCTGAAAGCCGAAGGAGGACAGAGATCTCCGGCTGTCATTGCAGGTAGGGAGTTGGTCGTGCCTGTGGCTGCAGCATCCCTTGTAGGTTTGGGGAACCGGAGCAGCCAGCTGTAGGCGTGCGTGTGTGTGTGCAGTGTGTTGTGTGCGTTTGGATGTGCCTCGGACACACACAGAGGGATGGGAATGCCTGTGCGGACACGCTCGGCTGCGTTGGGTATCTGTGTCTTTGGTGGAACACCGGTGCTCTGCAAAGTGTCTGGAAGTCTGTGCTGGCAGGAAAAGTTATGTAAACTTTTGCATAGGGAAATGGCAGTATCCTGGGTAGTTCCTTTATTCTGTGTGTGTGGAATAAGACGCGGATGGGTGAGAGCGCTCTTACGGTGGGTTTTTACCTGATTTTCACTTTGGAAAACTAAAATAGAGCGTTTGAAAGTAGCTTGTGTTGTCTGTATGGAAAGAAATTTGCGTGTCTAGTGTGTGGCTGCAGAGAAATGCATATCTAAGGTCCCTATATGATTTCCTTAGTTTTATTAGCTTTTTAGTGTGCTTCCCTGTTGCCCTTTCAGATGCAATGTTACTGTGTGGTTTCCAGAAAGCTGTAGAGGAACTTTTGGCTATTGTGAAATCTACAATGAATCAAATGAGTTTATAAAGTTCCCAATCCCTGGACACCCAGTGAGGGCTGGGACCAGCACTGCAGCGAGAGGATGTGTGGAGTGTTTTTGTCTCTCCTTAGAAATGGCAAGTGTAACACAAATGATTGTAAGGTGAAATAGCCCTATAAAATCATTTAGTACTCAAAGCAGCTACCAGCCTGGGCTGCCTGAGCTGAGCAATCATGAGGAATATTGCACTTTTCTTGTTTAAATTTTATGAGCCCATCATGAAGTTGGGTCCTTTCCCCTGCTCCTGCCCTCTCCCCACTTTAGTTGTCCTGAAATCGGATACTTTTGGGGGGGTTACCAACCCTTATAAACGTTGCCACATCCATCTTTGCAGTGAAGGAAGTCATAGAAAATGGAAATGCCCTTAGAAAAAAAAGTCAGAAAGGGAGGGGGGGAGGAAGACATGTTTTACAGTTCTTTTGGCAAGGAGATTCCCTGAGAGTACAAAGTTTCCATGTCCTAGGATGCCTTAAAGAGACAGGGAGGATTTCCCTTTTCCCTTTAACTGGAGTCACTTCCTACCAGAAGGCAGAGGATGCTTGTGCCGTGGTACTGGCTGCCCCGTCCCTGTCCCATGCCACCCTCCTCCTGCCACCCCATCGCCTTGTCCTTGTCCCACGCAACTGTCCTCTCACTGGAAAGTTGCTTTGTCCTAAGGAGAACACAAACTGAGATGAACTCAGCAGCGCATTCCCTTCGCTTTCCCCAATCCCAGCTGCTGGCTTGCTGTGAGGAGGGGGACACAGGATGTCTGGGGCTGCCAGGGTGGGCAGGGGGTGCCGGGCATGGGCTGGTCCCTCTTGCCTTCAGTAGGACAGGCAGATGAGTGATTTCATAGGTGAAATATCTTATCATTTGCTTTATTTCCCCTGACTTTCTCATACTCTACTCTTCTGCTTCCCAGTCTTAAGCCCCAGGGCTCCAGGTGCTTCCCTTTCGAGTTAGGAAAGGCAGAACTTGGGTTTACTTGGATCTCATCAGTGGCAAGAGACAGTCAGTGTAATTCTTAATGTGTTTAATCCAACACCTAAGACCCCATGGCTGTCCTCAGTGCCAGTATCTCTTAATTCATACAATAGGGAGTGTAGACAAACACACACACACACACACACAAAGATCATTTGTAGTAAAATACTTTAATTGGATGGGGGAGGTTGGGTTGTTGCCTGTATAAAACACTTGACCCATTTTATGCATGGAAATAACATTCCACTGTGAAAAATGAAAAGAAATGCCCCAGTTTTGCACGGCGGAGCCTGCAGCTCAGCCTGGGAGGACTTTGGGATTCTATTTGATTTCCAAGCTGCCCCTGCCCCCCTCGCAGGCACTCTTGAAGAGGAGCCAGGTTTGGCTCTGTGTGTAAACACCTGGAAGAGGTCCAAGAGGAACTCACTCGGAGTATCCTCCGCACACCACAGCCTCCCAGACCTGCAGCAAGCTTAGGGAGAGATTACGCTTCCCTCAATGAGGAAATCAAGGGTTCTGGCTGCCAAAACTCTTGGCTTTCTCATTTTCACTGTTTTGGGATGTGACAGGCTCCAGAGCCTGGTTCTGCTGTTGAAGTTGCATCTATAGGACCCCACTGGAAGTAAGAGTCCTTCTGGGTGTTTGACAGTGGGCAGGGACTGGGTCAAATTTGCTGCCAGTGCCAGAACTGAGTTTCTCCCTGGTTTCCATCCCAGTTGCAGAGTGAGGAACTATGACTCTGCAGACCTGAGGGAGAGGGCAGAACTGACTTTAAGACACCCCTTTTCCAGAGTCCTCCTTGTATCTTCATCTACTTTCTGCCCCCAACCTTCTGCCTGTGTCAACTGCTCCCATTCCACCCCTCCTTGCTGCCATTGCAAGTCGTATAGGGGCCACGCGTGCTATAGGGGAAAGCCTGTTGTGTCTGTTCAAAATTTCCTGTGGGACCCAACTTGTTATCAGCTTCTACGCCTGAGCCCTGATATAACGGAGCTCTTCTTCTAATCCAGGCTACAGGAGTTTCTGTCTGGAGCCAACTCTCCTTACGTCACCCTCTGCTGCAGTATTCAATTTGTTTTCATAAATGGCTAATTTTACAGCGCTGTTAAGTGGGTTCGTCATCATGCCGGGCCATGCCCCATCTCTGATGATAGGCAGCCCTCGGTGCCAGGCTCTGCCAATTTTCACGCCGGTTGGCAGTGATGTTATTGCTGCCCTGGTTGACTTCACTGCTATCTGTTCTGGCATTTGTCAAGGAAAGCTGTTGGGAAACTGGAAGTCTGACCCATTGATCCACGTTATGCAAAAGCTCGGCAGTGTGTTCGTGTCTGCGCTGTGCTCTGCCAGTGCTGCTCTCCCGGCTCCGTGTCTATTCTCCTCCCTCCCCGGGCCACATAGTTCTTGGACAAACACTCCTTGGATCTGCGTACCTACCACCCAGCACAGTACATCCCTCTTGTAAACACACACATGTGCACATGGTATTAATCATGCGAGTTTGCGCGTTTTCCCCTCTGCAGAGCCTTTGAATGCGCCTCTGGTTGTGGAGGAAGGAGTTAAGGGCTGGACTGTTACTCAGTTAGGTAACACACACGCCGTGCAAAATAAGAGGCTTCAAAGCACCGTTGACCTTGCTTCTGTTGTAATCAGAGAGATTTCAGTTCTACTGGGGAAATGCAACTCCATCCTAAGAAACAGGATCCTCCCGAGTCTCTGTCAGTGTGTTTGCTGCTATATGGCTCAGGGGCGGGAGAGCTCATGTTTTCATAGGAAGGAGATGTTGACTCTTTACTGGCTGGGAGCTGAGGAGCGGGATGAATGATCTGGAGTAAGAAGGCGTGTCTGCCCTCAAGAGTGAAAGCTGTTTGTGTTTTGGTTGGGTTTTTTTTCCCCTTCTCATTTTCATTCTCCTCTGTCTCTCTATGCCTGTGCCTGCCAACAGAGATGATGATCCCAAATTAATAAAGTTTCATATGTAAGGGAGTGCCTGTGTTTTCCCAACTTCAGTCCTTGATGAACGTAAAACTGCAGCAGAATCCAGAGGGAAAAAAAGGCCAAAATAAGCACAGTGGAGCTCACTGAAAGCATGTCAGGGTCTGAGAAACATCTGTGCCAGGTCTAATAACTGGGCAGTTACAAGGATATGTAATTAAGACTGCATAGGTCTGTTCCCTCCACAGGGTTTAAGAATATATGTTTGCTTTTGGGGGTTAATTTGGTTCCCTTTTGAAGTTTGGGAGTCTGATATTGATTTAATACACTTCAGGAGAATCAGTGAGCTGGGTCCTGTCCCCAGAGCTGATCCTTGTAGCGGGTCTGTTGAGAACTTGAGGTTGTTTTCAGTAGAGAGTTTACTCTGAGTTTCACTGGCATTAAAATAACAGGTAGATAAACAATGCATCAAATCTCATCTCCAGCAGCCTGGGGTTTTTTTATAGCCTGAATTTCTGTGGTTTGATCTATAGTGAAGTGTTAGAATGAAGGACTAATAAGTAAGTCAATGTAAAGCTTGTAGTTCTGTCATGTAATTAGTGCTGGCATTAGCAGGGTGATGGGCATGATGAGTGCAGTGGTTGGACCAAAGCGACGGGAACTTGGACACCTGCCCAGATGTTCCTTCAGGGTGACAAGTCTCCAACACACCATGGCTGAAGGCTGCAGGTAGCGCTGTGGTTTTGGCTTCCCTGTAGACGGGGTCAAATGAGTACCCACTTCAGGACTGTAGATCTGTATAAGGCTTGACTAATAGGCCACGATAAAAATGTGGCATAGTTTGTCATTTACTGAATATTTGCATTTGAAACAGCACATTTCCTTCAGGCTGCAGAAGCCAGGACAAGAGTCAGAAACTGGAAAAGAAAGAGAATTTTTCTTTCCATAAGATATCCGATTTTAACCAGTCTCATTCTTCTGATACATTAGAGGCAGAACACCACAGTTAGAAGAAAGTTGTGTTTGTTTGGTTTTGTTTTCTTAAAGCACTTACATACAGGCTGCTCTAATTAATAAAATGGTAATGAAAGAGGGGAATATCACTCTGTGTGTGAACATTCAGATGTGTGTGTACATTCAGATTCCTCAATGATGTATGGCTGTCTTCTGTAGACAGAGAGATGTGATGTGTCCCAGGCTGAGCTCACCTCTCCAAGCTTCATTTGGGCCTGATTTATTTCAAGCTAGCCTGTTTCAGTTAGAAAAACTCCTCCGAGGCATAAAGCAAGCTGAGGGGATGGTGTTTGGAGAGAGAGCGGGAGCAGGGCTCTCCTAAGGGATTCATGGAGATGTCTGGAGAAGCACAGAGCAGAGCTGCAGCAGTGAGGACAAGAAGCAGCCCTTGGAGAGCCTTTGCACGCTACACCTTCGCAGAGAGACAGACCTGGTCAGTGACGCAGGTGGCTGAAAGTTAACACAT